AAAGAAAATCTTACACTTTTTCTCGCTTTGGAAAAAACAAAGTTGGGGTTTATTCTAGTGACCGTTGCTAATATAATTTTTGGGGTTGGGGACCATCTCTAATTTATTTTTGTGATGGGGAACATTTCTAATTTAAATGATTGGTTAAGATAATGTTTTTTAAAAGTTAACATAATATTTTGGGACCAATTGTGCTAATCACCATTAAATAAAAAAGGGTATTGGATTTCGATCTTTGTTAAACTACAAAACTATGACCACCAATAAACAATAACAACTCTAGGTGTACAAATAATTACTAAGAATGTATAAATATATTGCAAAATTTATTTAATTTATTAGCTATAATTATTTCAAATTATTTAAATATTAATATATTAATGAATTTCAAATTATCTAATAAATATTAATTATTTTATAAATTATCAATTAATAATTATAATTACTAATTATTTTTTACAAATAAATTAAATAAATTTACCACTTATTTACATAATCTTAATCGTTGTCTATGAAGGCACAATCAATGGAGAAATTAATTTAGATATATTTTTTTATAAAATTACATATCATTTAAATAATTAATTTTTATTTAAAATTTATAATATTAAATATTTTTACTTATTTAATAAATTTTAAAATTTATATAAAAATCATATAAAAAATTTTTCTCTGTACCCCTACCCATGCCCATTTTTTCTACAAGAATGTTAGAGTAGCCCGATCGTAGGGCCCCTCAATTATTAAAGAAATTTAATGTTTTAATTATTGTGATATCACCTTGACCAGTTGGTGGTAGTCCCTCTCTTTAGTCCTTCCCGGTATTTGAACCCACAGCTACGAAAGTGCAAAGAATATTTCATTTGAATTATAAATGGGTCTGTTTGTCATTTGATACTGGTAATATATATGCCTACCATATGACATACGTGGCGCTAACAAGTATCACCATGATTAAAATAAGAAATTTCTTTAATAATTGAGGGGCCCTACCCTAGATCGAGCTATTCTAACATTCTATATTAATTATTTTTTTTTTAATTTATAAAAAATATAATAATTAATTTTACTTTTAACACTAATAAATTGTATATAATTTTAATAGAATAATTAATAAAATTAAAGGTTATTTTTTAATTAAAAAATTAATAAAAAACATAATCAATGCATCTTTAATTTGTATCCTAAAGCTACAACATGGGTAGAAAAACTCATTATGTTCAAATACTATTATAAGTAAATTTATTACATCTTTTTATTAGTATTAATATATATAAAAAATAAATTTTGATATTAATTTAAGTAACTCTCTAATTACAAATATCTACATAAATGTTAAAATAAATTTCAATTTTTTTATTTTTAATAAATAATATCCTTTCTTATCATTTTTAATAAATCTAGTTTCTTAATAAAAAAGTAATAATTTATTGAAAAAATTT